TTTTCAGGTGCCCAGGATCTCGAAGAGCGGAACACATCTGCGATGGATAAAAAAAGGCTCCCAGAAAGCTGGAAGGGTCAAGCTAAGCAACCGCCAAACTGACTTGTCGACACCTCATGCCGCAAACGAGATGCCTCATGGGGGTGTTGGGTACATCCACTTTCACGGGAACATATCTAGCAGTCGCCTGCCGCCACGTGGAGACACCTCTTTCTTAGTGGTCAATGACGGCAATAACCCAAACTTCTGTGCACGTAAGCAAGACAGTCCTCTGCCAACGGTGCTTGAAAGAAGTTTTTGCGGAGTCGCGCGATATTGAGAAATCACAACCAGCCATACGAACCAGTACAGTTTGTGGTGGGAGTAGCTTGGGGAGAGCTTCCAGAAGAGGGAAAATTGTTTGGGGCGATTCCAATGGCTTTGTTACGATGTCAGTTGCAGAAATCTCCCTACCTTGTCCTCCCACGTGGCCTTAAGGATAAGTTTTAATCTCGAGGATACCTGTATTCCCACCAAGGTTCAGTGAACCACGGGTCTTGGAGTCCACGCGACGCCTTTCGAGAATGAGTTGTGAAATCACCAAGAATTACATTCGCCCAAGGAGAGTGTGTCGTTCACCATCCACTTCTAAAAACAATTCCAAGGCAGCAGGTGCACGGACGTTGTTGACCACCAACCAGGCTTTGCCCTTCTCCTGGCTTTGTCAGAGGTACTTCTCTGTCCATGACAGCAGTCCACATAAACATCTAGCTTCTCTAATCTCATTTCGTAGAACTGCACCTACTCGCTCTCTAGCTTCTCTGGTCTTATTTCGTAGAACTGCACTTGCTCGCTCTCCGCCGTCTGCGCATCGACACATCGTTCTTCAAATCAAACATTTCCAGAGTTCGCTGGGCCAATTCTTAGTCCCCATCTTTAGCCATTAGTAGTACTGTACTCACAATAAGCATCAGCACAGATGGGGCTGGAAGAGGATCTGGCGATTTCGCCGGCTGTATCGACCGCCATCGGCGGGTTAGCAGGCGTCATAGAGGTGCTGCTGCAGCAACCGCTGGTCACGTGGAAGAACGCCGTCCAGGACATGAGACCCGTCCCGCTGCACCCCAGATTGCTCTATCGCGGGGTGGCCGTGAACGCCGCGTCCATTGCGCCGATTAACGGATTCCAGTTCGGTGCCAACACCTTTCTAGAAGAGTGGTTAGCAGCGAGGGGTCAGTTGAATGACACGACGCGGACGGGAGCGGCGACGGCGGCGGGTGCTATGTCGGGGATAATAACGGGTCCAGCGGAGCTGCTGATGATCCAGCAGCAGAAGTGGGGAGGATCGCTTGGTGCGAGACTACGGGATGTTGTCGGAGAGCACGGTGTCCTCGCCCTCGCTAGAGGAACGGTACGCTGGACATTGTTTTCGGAGATTGGACGTTCATGTGGGATGCTGGGTCTAATCCCTTCTAGTTTTTAAGTAAGAATACATTCTCACTTACGAATCGACTCTCACTGTCGCTTCGAGTGCGTCCGCGTTGCCGCTCTAATTGCGCTTTAATCAGAGTGATAGGGCGAAATCCGCCCGGAGCGTTCGGATAGATGTTCTAGGTCGATGCGAATGACATGATGGGGTACCGCCAACTGTTCATTGGCGCACTATATGGTCAAAGTCTTGAACTCTCCACCATCTTTTGGCGGATCTGCTCACCATCCTCTTCCCCTCACTCTCATCACCCTCTTATGTGTCCCTGCAGAATCCCGCAGTGGTGAGAGAAGCGATCTTCACAGGGGCGTACCTGGGAGTGATTCCTGTGATGACGGAGCACATGGAAAAGGCATGGCCGGTTTTCGCGGAGAGGCCCGTCGCGGCAATGGCGACGGCGTCGGTGCTGGCGGGGGTTGGAGCGGCTGTGCTCACGCAGCCCTTCGACACTGTCAAAACACGCATGCAGGCCAATCTCGCAGATCCTAATTTCAGGTATGGGAGGCTTAGTCTCGTTGCCGTATATGCACATCTGTGCCGTATCCGCCTGATCCACTTGTCTGGTTGAACGACGGTGAACAGCTGTTTCGATTCTGCTTGACATTCTCCTCTCTTTATTCAGGTCCATGACTGGCACATTTGCACGCATGTGGATAGAAGGAGGCAGCAAGACCCTGTTCAGAGGCCTCATTCCGCGAGCTCAACGGGTGACATTCGCCGTCTTTATTCTCAGCGAGGCCAAGGAGAGGCTCACCGAGTTGTACCTCAAGCTCCATCCGCATCCAGCAGCCCAGAGTCATGCCAGTGATGCCAGCAGCAGCATGTCGCTTAGCCACGTGGATGCCAGGCGGGGGGCAGGCCACCTAGATGCTGCTGCAGTTGCTTACAGAGCGGCAGCTTGTGAGTCTGCGACGGAGGTGTAAGGAGTTGCAGCATTAGGTTTTAGAGAGGATGAAGCAGGAGCTGCTGCATATGTGGAGCCGTCTTCCAAGCTCTTGTGCATATTGAAGAGATTCGCCAAGTTTATGGCCCACGATCCAGTTTTGACTAAATTGTTTTTATTATTTTTCATGTATGTTACAACTAAATTCAATTTTGTCCACTAGTTCATTTGATGCTTTACTTCTCCCACAAGTGGATTTGATGCTTTACTTGGCACTGTGCCATCAGTACATGTGATGCTTTTGCTAAACAAGAGGCCCTAAGGCTCCCAAGTTGATGCTGTATGTGGCCAATGTTTGCTTTCATAACACCAGCATCATTATATGACGTCCTTTATTGCTAACCAAGCGAGTTAGCAAGACTCTACGCCTAGTTTCCCTAGCACTGAACAGAGTTGAAGCGGGAGAGAAGCTACGGCAGTCCTTTCAAGAGTTGGATGAATGTCAGATCACCACCTTATCTGTGATCTACATAGAAGACATGTTGGAGAGGCCTGCCACGTTTCCTAAAACTTTGGCATGGATTGCTCCCCCGTGGCTCTCCATTACTGCTGTCACCCCTCGCTCCACCATCCTGTTGGGTGGAGAGAAGGACAGGGAACGGGAATGGAGAAGATAAAAAAACTGCTCAGCCATAGACGACAAAGGAGGAATTTGGGGCACATCTTTCGCGACAGGCTAGGGGGTCATGTTATATGCAATTTTCCTCTTTTCTGACTGACCTGAATATCGTGGCGATCATTAAAGTCAGGTAGATGACGAATCTAATTAGTTGCCGTCTTCTTTGAACGCTTATTTGGTTGAAAACTTCCGTCACATCCACCATGTGCTCTTTCCTGAAGTATCTGTATGGGAAAATAGGAGGCCAGGTGTTGTTGACGGCAGTGCTCCAAAGAGAAGAGCAACTCAACTTGCGGGTTGATAATAACACCATTATGCATGAAGACATGGCGACACTTACAGGTGAAGGTGGTAGAGGGCGAGAGGGAGGTTGATAAGGAACATGAGCCAGTGGCCAGTGAGAGCGAAGACAACAGTCAGGCCTGAATGTAGGGAAATCTCTGGAAAAACGAAGCCGTTGACTCTTCTGGCGGCGTCATGTGGGTTAATGAAGTCGTTTTCAAGGTCCGATATACAGATGAGCTGGATGAGAAGGTAAAGGAACACGGGAGACCAGCCAAAAGTAAGGAAACAATTTAGAAAACACGGCATGGATTTGATCTGCACCAGGCTGTTCGGGTGTATCCGATAGACACAGAACTGTTGCGCGTAAACAAGCTGGGCGCTAGTGACAGCTCTGCCGCAGGATTCTTGTGAAAATATAAGATTAGAATGAACTGCAGCTTCCAGTGCTTGAAACCTACAACCGAATTCCACCACAAGCAAACGCACCATGTACATGACGATGCCCACTAACGCTGCTGAGACAAGAAACGCCACCATCCAGAACAGTATCGCCCAGGTTAGCGACTCTTGAACCGTGAGAAACGCCATTCTCAAACCCTACTTCTGGCCTTGCTCAGTACAGGAGCTGGAAGAAAAAAGAGCCTCGTGTTAGTGAAGGCGAAAATTTTAAGATGGGTCAGCTGAGAGGTTCTACTCGAAGATGCGATGACGTGTAGTGCGACTGAGCGATTGGTTTAACTAAGGAAATGGTTCCGGATCAATGGACATCGAGAAAGAATAGCTGCGGCCATGACTCGGAAGCTCGTCGTCGGACAATCTGCCTCGTGCTTCTGAAATTATCCTACTGTTAGGGTTGAGGGATCGAACCTAGAAGCGCGACACTTATTTGCGGACTTCGATTAGAACAAGCCTATGCTGGCGCAACTCAATTGAACGCACTAAGGGGAAATAGTTTGAAATATGAGCTCTGAAACATAAGCTCCGCTGAGTAAAAGCTCCGATGCGCATGCGAAAGGTAAGAGACAAAATGCATGCACTGCGAGTCTTTAGGCATGGCTCAGCCAAGCACGGAGAGTCGCGACATTGGAGATCAAATTCATTCCCTAGCGAGAATACGTCGCCGCCATGGCTGACGTCCGTTGGAAACTCCAATTTGCAAGCCGCAGCAGAAAGCGAAAAACGTGAAAACGTACACCTCAAGGGAAGGGAAGGTCCTTCCTGGCGATTCGCTTCGCCTCTTCGCCCCCCTTCCAAACTGGCCCTCACCGTGTTTCGTTCGGTTTCGCCCCGTTTCGAGGGGGTGCTGGTTCGTCACGCATTGTGACGCGGGGATGGAATCTGACCGTTGTGTTCCTGCATAGTGACGAATTCCATAAACGCTACACTGGTGTTGGGATTGGATATCAATTTGGCATGAATTACGTTCATAATACTGTTGAACATGTACATAGGCATACTGCTACACATAAGAGACTAAACAATTGCTTCCAGATACAGAGTTCATTCATCCTCGTCCTCGTCGTCACTCTGCAGTGAGAAAGACAGGTCACACCCCAACAGAAGAACCAAGAGTCAGGAGGCAGCTTACAGATATATGGGTGGGCGCAAGTGGGAGAGCACCACACCAACAATGGAAGCAAGCAAGGCCATGTTACTGGTATTCGGATCATGAGCTGTTAGATCACCTCGAATGTGTCAGGGAGGGGGATGCCCTGATCCAGCTGGCGCAAATGTCCAATGGTGAGTCGCTGTGATGAGGGTAGGGGAATGTGGGGATGTCCAAGCAATGCGAATTAGCCACCAGTGAGCAAACCATCACCACATAAAATGCTTAGATCAGCTCACCTCCACGTCACCCCCATCAGCTCACCTCCACGTCACCCACCATCAGCTCACCTCCATGTCATCGACAACAAGTCTGCGGTCGCAGCGCCTCTCCAGTAGCTCGAGCACCTCCATGCCATTCATGGACGTGAGACCAATGTCGATCAGCAGTGACTCTCCGGCAATCTCCAGGTCCTGGGAGGAGATGCAAGGCACGGAGACAGTTGTGTTTTGAGTCTTGAGACGCCCAGAGGGCCTCTCCAGTAGCTCGAGCACCTCCATGCCATTCATGGACGTTAGACCAATGTCGATCAGCAGTGGCTCTCCAGCAATCTCCAGGTCCTGGGAGGAGATGCAAGGCACGGAGACAGTTGTGTTTTGAGTCTTGAGACGCCCATAGGGCCTCTCCAGTAGCTCGAGCACCTCCATGCCATTCATGGATGTCAGGCCTATGTCAATCAGCAGTGGCTCTCCAGCTATCTCCAGGTCCTGGAAGGAGACGGGAGGAGAGGCATGGTATGGAGAACACAACCATTGCATGGTATGGAGCTGGTTAATGTTTACAACATTGGCTCGGTACACCAAAGCGAGAGAAAAATGGTGAAAGGAAAGAACCAAGAGCTGCACTCACGTGGATGCCCATGATGGCCTTCACAGCTGACTCCACGCCCATGCCATCCCACTTGGCTGCACCCATGTCCTCCTCTGCTCCCTCCTCTGCCTCCACAGCCCCATCTCCCACAGGAGCTTTGCTCTGCCCATCCTCCTCTGTAAGTGCCCCTGCCACGTCACCCTCTGCTGCAGCTGCTGCTGTTTCGTCTGACGCCACTGCCGTTGGTGTTGCTACAACTTCTCCCTCCTCTGCATCATCTGCCCCCTCTGACTGCACTCCTGCTCCTACAGTCACTCCTGCACCTGCACCAGCTGCTGCCATATCGCTAGCCTCATCTAGATCTTCCCCTTCCTCCACCCCCACACTCTCTTTCTCACTCGCCCCTTTTCCTTCCACCTGTCCCTCCTCCTCCTCCACCTTCCCGCTGGTTGCCTCCTCCCTTTCCTCACTCTCCCTGGCCTCTTCGCCAACTAGCACCTCTTTTTGAGGCACCTCAGCAGAACGTTTCTCCTCCACAATCACCACGTCCTCCCCTCCTCCCTTCGCCCCAGAAGACTCAGGAATTGAGTGCAGACTCTCCTGAGCAGTTACAATGTAGAGGGACAGGAAAGAGGGATCAAGGGGAGAAGAAAAACCCAAGTGACAAATTCACTACATGTGTCCACTTTACTTTGATGCGTCACAAATTCGCTCCATTTTCAGAGCACCTAAAATTTGGCTCCTGAACTTACAATGGTCTCTCCAGCGCCCCCCTCCGTGTGCGAGTTACTGTTGAGCACAGTGAGTGCGCCTGTAGTGAGTCGATGGCTCGTCTCCTTGCGCCGAATCTTGCCACTCGTGGTCTTGGGGATCTGATGAGGGGGAAAACAGGAGAGCAAGGTAGATGCATGAGACATGGGAAGAAGAGGATGCAAGACACGCAACTCATTTCCAACCGTCAGTAGCATACGGCATGAGAGCCACAATGGCAGGCAGGCATGACGCCATCCGCCACCCCGCACTTCTGAATGCGTGCAAGCCCCCAGTCAAGCATAACCCAACCAGGCCTCCACAATTCCCTGCAATACCCACTGCCCCCCAATCTGTGCCACAGCGCTCACCGTGCGGGGTGGAATGATGGCCACGATAGCAGGCATGACCCCATGCACGTGCACCACCGCACTTCAAATCCCCCTCCCAAGCCCATTCATCTGCTGCTTCGCCAGACTCACAGAATCCCCCCTTTATCCGCACCATGGCACTCACCGTGCGAGGGGGAATAATAGCCACGATGGCAGGCAAGACACCATGCGCCCGCACCACAGCACTGCGAATCTCCCCCGCCAGCTCATTCATCTGCTGCTTCGTCAACCCACCCTCCCCACTCCCCCCTCCCCCCCCCACCCCGCCACCACCCTTCCTGTGCAACTGCTTTCACCTCCACCACCACTGCCAACACCTCCTCCTCCTCTCCCTTCTCCCCAGTATCTCCCTTGCCGCCCGCTGCCACCCCGTGGCTCGTCTTGTTCACGCTGAAGGCGGCGCAGCAGCCGGGGCGGATGCTGTCTGAAACGGCCTCTACGGTGAGCTCAATGTCCTGCGGGTAGTAGTTCTTGCCCCCCACGATGATGAGGTCCTTGATGCGCCCTGTGATGAACAGCTGCTGCGCCACCACCAGCCCCAGATCGCCCGTGCGCAGGTACAAGCCAGCATCAGAGCCTGGCGCCCCCTCCTTCATGCGCGCCCGGAAGGTCTGGAAGAGGAGGGAGGATGTAAGAGGCAAGGGGAAAGAGGAAAGCGGTAGAGGGGTGGATCAACAGCTGCTGCGCCACCACCAGCCCCAGAACCCCCATTCACAAACAGGCTCCGTTGTCAGAGCCCGGCGCACCTTCCTTCATGCGCGCTCGGAAGGTCTGGACACTCCAAACAGGGAAAGACAGGGGGAGAGGGGAAATGGAGGAAAAGGGGTAGGAGGGATGGAGGAAGCCCCGCGTTATCCATTCGCAAATGAATGGAGACCGAGTGTGAATTGAGATACGAGGCACACCACCACCTGGAGAATAAAGGTGTGGCCTCTCAGCATTAAGAAGTGTGACTGTTGAGCCGGCTCACCTCCTCTGACAGCTCCGGCTTGCCCCAGTAGCCACGCGCCACGTGGCAGCTGCGCGCCCAGATCTCGCCCTCCTCACCCTCAGCACACGCCTCATGCGTCTCGGGGTTGACAATGACAACCCGGCCGTCCACAGGGTATGTGGCGAGGTGACCACTGCTGTGTAGAGTGATGTCAGGGAGATGCAGCAGCTGGTGGGTGGGGGCAGGCAAGCAGTGAAGCACATGGGGAGAGGGCAGGGAGGGGTAGAAGCAGAGGCATGAGTTCTCTTGAAAGCTACCGACAGGTTAGGTTGAGGTTGGGCTGCTGTGCAGAGTGAGGTCGCGGAGCATTACCTGGTGTGTGCGGGATGCTGGCACACAAAACTAGGGAAAGGGGTGGGGGTAGAGGAAGCATGGGAGGACAGGGTTAGGGGAGTCATAAGATGGAGACAGGGGCATGGGAGGTACACAGATTACACACTCTACCAGCCATTGCAGCAGGGGCACAAAACCGAAAGATTGAACCCGAAACTCTGAACGTGCCTCGCTTTCCCACCCTAGCACACCATCCCAATCCCACGACTAGATAGATTCAATGTACCTTGCTGCCCCACCCCAACACGCCATCTCATCTCCACGACTAGATTCAACGTACCTTGCTTCCCCACCCAGACACGCCGACCACATGCTCTGCCAGCCCGTAGCACGGGCACATACCGCAGGGGTCCCATCCATACCGCCCCAGCACCGCATTCCACCGCTCTATCGCCTCCGGCCGCACCGGCTCCGCAGCGTTCAGGAAACACTCCAGCGACGAGAGGTCCAGAGTGGTGGGAAGCGCAGCAGATGCGTTGAGAGCGGTGGAGGGGGAGGAGGAGGGGTTGAGAGGGGCGGGGAAGGAGGAGGGAGGGAGGGAGGCGGAGAGGAAGTGGGCGGGCAGGGCGGCATCTCTGGAAGGGACAAACTTGCGCGTGGCGAGGTTGAGAGCGAAATTAGGTGCTGCTGTGTGCGTGATCTGGGGGTTGGGGGCGGAAAGGGGAAAGGATGGAAGAGGAGGGGAGAAGTAGGTTTTGAACGCATTTGAAGGATAGGCGGCTCAAAAGCAGGGTGACATGAGAACTTCTAATAACATGGCAAAGAATGGGGCAAGAAGAAGGCAGTGGATGTAGGTGGTCAAGCGAGTTCCAGCTCAAGAGGCTGATCCTCCCAGCGTCATTTTCAGCACCCACTTCACCTGCCACCCCACTCCGCTGCCCCAGCAATCACCTGCCCCACACCAGACCTCACATCCCTTCTCCTCACCTTGAGGCGGCTCATCCACTGCAGCCAGGAGGCGGGGCGGTGGATGAAGTCGATGGGCGACATGTACACCCCACTGCCGCCCGCTGTGAGCGTGCTCAGATACGCCACTATCAACCCCAGATCGTGGTACTGTTGGGGGGGTGGGAGGAGAAAGGAGGGAGGATGGAGGAGCGAGGAAGGATATGGGTGATTTATGAGAGTGTACATGCAATGAATGCGATGCGATGCACTGCCTGTATACACAGGTCAATGCTATCTGTCATCACATGTGCTGCCATGCCATTACAAGGTCAACCGAGGCAGCACGGGCTCACCTGAGGCAGCCAGCTGAAGAAGCGAATGCCAGAATGCATGCGAAGGGTCCTGCAACGGGCGAGGGGCGAGGCGGAAGGGAAAACGAGCGTATGTTTTGTCGTTCCGTCAATGCTCTCAGACTTTCGAATCAACACAGGGTGTTCTGAGTGAGACCGGTGCGAGCGAGAAAATACGATGCCCTGTTCCTTACCACGAGTCTCCCCTCACCTCCTCTACTGCAGCACGCATCCTCTAGCACAGGGCACGCACCTGCGGATAAACATGACGTTGTGGGCAATGTTGGTGTGGGTGATCATGACGCCCTTGGGATCCGCAGTGGACCCTGACGTGTACTGCAGAAATGCTATCTCGTCACTGCTGTAACTGCTACCGCCAAGAGTGCCATTCTCGCTGCTGCTGCTGCTGCTGCTGCTGCTGCTGCTGCTGCTGCTGCTGCTGCTGCTGCTGCTGCTGCTACCATTCTCAGCCGCGCTGCGAGGGAGAGGCTTGATGCCATTGGTGTTGTACCAGTGCTCACCCGGCCAGCGCACGAGCTTCAGCAGCGACAGGCGGATCTTGGACCGATACCTAATGGGCACGGAGGGAAGAGGGTGGGGAGAACCGAGGGATGGCATCAGCCGTCACGGAGTTGTACGTGCCTGGACAAGAGTTGCTGATAAAAACGTTCCTGGGGAAGTGCATGTTGGCGACCTAGATGTGGGCATGTTCTAGCAGCAGCAGCAGCAGCAGCAGCAGCAGCAGCAGCAGCAGCAGCAGCAGCAGCAGCAGCAGCAGCAGCAGCAGCAGCAGCAGCAACAGCAGCAGCAGCACTGCCTGTCAGACATAGAGGTGCGTTCACTCTGACAATCACTCACTCGGACGTGGAGAGCACGATGCGTGCCCCACAGTCGTTGACGAGGCGAGTGAGCTTCTCGACGTCCTTCTTCAGCTCACGGGGGTTGGGCGGGTACACTGGCACCGCCACCACTCCTGCAGAGGGGGAGCATAGAGGGTGGACAGAGGGAGGGGGGAAAGGCAGGGAGGGGGGTTGAGGGAGGGTGAGTGAGAAAGAGCTTTTCCCCACGCCCCATGCCCCATGCTCTGTGCCCTGTGCCCCATGACCCGTGCCCCAGTAGCGCGCTGCACCACCACATGCCACGTGGCACATGCCACGGCACCCACCAGAGCGCAGGCAGGCGATGAAGGCGATGAGGAAGTCAAGGCCGGGCGGGTACAGCAGCACCACGCGGTCACCCCTCCCTGCCCCCCACTCGCCCACCAGTGACGCGCTCACGGCCCGGGACAGCGCGTCCAGCTGGGGAGGAGTGGGGATGGGGATAGCAGGGAGAGCGCGGAGGAGGGGGGTGTGGGTGGGCAGAGGCAGGACAAAAGATTGCAACCTTCGTCTCTGCCAAACTTGGAATACCTGGGTGACGCGAAACTGTGTAAATATCATGGTTGCAAACAACGCGTAGCATCCACGTTAAGTGTAAATCGATTCTCATGCACACTCGCCGCTCACCCAAAACCGCCTCCTATACACGAACGCACCTCCTCGTACGTGTACGACTGCTTGATCACGCCCTTCTCCTCCACCCACGTCACCGCCGCCTTGCTCGGAAACTTCCTCACGTTGCGCTCAAACAGCTCCAGAAACGGCAACGCCTCATCGCGCAGCCACTCGGGGCGCTCGTCCAATGGGATGCCGTCCTGCGGCGGCGGCGGGGACCACTTGCGGGGGTGGCCCGCCACGTCAGCAGGGCCGGGGGCCAGCTTGAGCCGGCTTGCGTGCGGCGCGCGCATCTCTACAGACGGCGAAGCTGCGGCCTTGGCGGAGGGCATGAGAGGGACGGTACTGGCGGCGGAAACGGCGCCGAGAGAAAAACTGCTTGCAGCAGGGACGTTAGGAGCCATGTGTGCTCGGGCTAGCGGCACAAGTACTACCAGGAAGATGAGGATGCTCTTGGGTGTGCGGTGAGGTGTGGTGGGACGTGGTGGGTGGACAGTGGTAATCTGGGCGTTCTGATCGAGGAGATCGAGGCTAGCAGCGGCGGAGGGAGACGGACGAAGACGGCCAGGCTTTAAGCTGACGAGAGTAGACAAGTGCAGCACGCAGCACGCAGCACGTCGTCGAGAGGTTCAATGGGAATGCGAACGAGGCCGTGCTGTTCTGCGGCTCAATTCACGAATTCACGGAAGCAAGTCAATGCATGAAACGAATGGGTCGGTTCTCTCCCCCTCTTATCGCCTCTCGCATGCTCCGGTGGACGCATCGCTCCGTCTCGCGTATCGCCTCTCTTCCATGCAGAGCGACGCGGTTCGATATTTCCGTGCAAATGCACTTGGCGAAAGCGATTGGCGAACATCGCCATGTGGGTGGGGCACGCTAGAGGAAATTGATCCGGAGAGGCGGTGATTCCAACCTCACTGGTCATCCGAGAGACGAATGGCATCATCTGCACCGCACGTCACTTTCAAGAGCACAAACCAACGGTAAGATTTGTCCAACTGGATGATTCTGGAACCTTGTTTGTGGTCGCGACGCTGGTACAGTGCTCCGCAGAGCGCACCGAAAGTACAATGTTAACTGTTTCGTCGTCTCGAGGCGGAAGGACAGGCAGGGACGGCATGCTCCGGTATGTGATGTTTTCAGGCAGGTAGAGGGGGGAAACCCTTGGTGTGCTAGTCTGAGGCGGTGCAAGAGTCGACATGACAGGCAAAGAGAGACGTCGCTTTCCGATGTTGATATTCAAGGGCTGTTGTCTCGGTGACTAGCAGCAGTGCATGTCGGAAAAGTGCGTGCTGACAGGCGACGGGTGACGGACAAACCGACGCTGCACTACCATCGCCCGTTCGTTTTCAGGCATGCCGTCGAATCAACAGCGGGCAGCAAGCACTCCCAATCGATGTGACCAGCAAGCAGCAAGCGATTCTGCTCTGAAACCAAAACGTTATGCATTCCTACAACTCATCTAGGGAAAAATGGCTGCATGTGTAAAAAAAAATTGGTAGCAACCCTTGACATTTGGTTTCACATTTTGGGGATATCATTTGAAGAGTGTATTTACACACTTTTTGGAGCACCCGATTTGAATGTTTTGAAACTGTGTTCAAACGGATGCCTCAAATAATGGATAACAAACACCTTTGAATGACATCCCCATATGTAAAACCAAATACCGGAACGCACGTACGTATCATGTTGAAACCATGAACTTGCTCGACCGTCCCAACCTCGTCGATAAATACGGCGGATCGTACGGCCGAGCATAAAATTCTGGCATTAACATGAACGAATGAACAACAAGGTATGAGGTGGAATGGATGCTTCAAAATGAATGTTAAAATGCATCATGCAGCAACAGAGGTTGATGGGGTCGTTGAAACAGCGGAAACCCGCTGCCCCAAAGACAATTAACAACCTCTAATTGCATACATGACACACAATAACACCACACTTTGAAACACACATCCCACAAACACGAATGCAAATGCACGTAAAAAGTGTACAACACCACGTAACGGTTATGAACGGATCGAAGAGCAACCCCACAGTGAAACAAACACAACGAACATACATGCAAACACACGCAAACAAGCACAGAGAGATACAGATACCGTAATAGACACACAACCGTCATAAATAAAATTCATAATAAATAATTCCTAACCTATCCCACCTTACCCTCCCTACAACCCTCCCTCCCTCCTTCCCTCATCTCCATCCCACTCCCTCATCTCCCTTCTCAGCTCACGCACGCGCCCTGCACAAAGCAAAATCAGTGAAGTCAACACACACGCGCCCAGGCAAAAACAGGGAAGTCAACACACACACGCCCTGCACAAAGTTAAAACAGGGAAGTCAACACACACACGCCCTGCACAAGGAAGCAAAACACACCTTGCACAAAAATCAGTGCATGTTCCTACACTGTCTACAAGAAAGCAAAAATAGGATACGCCAATCAGTGCATGTTCCTACACTGTCTACAAGAAAGCAAAAATAGGATACCGCAACACACGTGCTCTCTCATGCACTCTTTCTTACGCGCACTCTCACGCGCTCTCTCACGCGCTCTCTCACGCGTTCTATCAAGGCGCACTCTTAGGGGCACTCTCAGGCGCTCTCTTTCGCGCTCTTTTTCCCGCACGCTCATGCGCATTCTCTCTCTTACGTCCTTTCTCTCGCGCACTCTCACGCACATTCTCTCTCTCAAACGCCCTCTCACGCGCACCCTCACACGCTCCCTCACACGCTCTCACACGCGCTCTCTCACGCGCTCTCACACGCGTTCTCTCACCCGCTCTCTCATGCGCACTCTCACGCGCTCTCTCACGCTCCCTCACGCGCTCCCTCGCGCACTCTCAGGCACACTCTCACGCACTCCCTCTCGCGCTCTCTCTCGCGCACTCTCACCACATTCTCTCTCTCGCGGACTATCACACGCATTCTCTCTCTCGCGCTCTCACGCGCACTTACACAAGCTCCCTCACGCGCTCTCTCATGCTCACTCTCACGCGCACTTTCACGCACTCTCTCATGTGCTCTCTCACGCGCTCTCACGCGCGTGCTCTCTTGCGCTCTCACGCGCTCTCTTGCGCTCTCTCACGCGCTCTCTCTCACGCGCTCTCTCACGCGCTCTCTCACGCGCTCTCTCACGCGCTCTCTCATGCGCTCTCTCACGCGCTCTCTCACGCGCTCTATCAAGGCGCACTCTTAGGGGCACTCTCAGGCGCTCTCTTTCGCGCTCTTTTTCCCGCACGCACACGCGCATTCTCTCTCTTACCTCCTTTCTCTCGTGCACTCTCACACACATTCTCTCTCTCAAACGCTCTCTCACGCGCATTCTCTCTCTTACGTCCTTTCTCTCGCGCACTCTCACGCACATTCTCTCTCTCAAACGCTCTCTCACGCGCATCCTCACACGCTCCCTCACACGCTCTCTCACGCGCTCTCACACGCGCTCTCTCACGCGCTCTCACATGCGTTCTCTCACCCGCTCTCTCATGCGCACTCTCACGCGCTCTCTCACGCTCCCTCACGCGCTCCCTCGCGCACTCTCAGGCACACTCTCAGGCACTCCCTCTCGCGCTCTCTCTCGCGCACTCTCACCACATTCCCTCTCTCGCGGACTATCACACGCATTCTCTCTCTCGCGCTCTCACGCGCACTCACACACACTCCCTCACGCGCTCTCTCATGCTCACTCTCACGCGCACTTTCACGCACTCTCTCATGTGCTCTCTCACGCGCTCTCTCACGCGCTCTCATGCGCCCTGTCGTGCTCTCTCACGCACTCTCTCAAGGCGCACTCTCAGGCACACTCTCACGCACTCTCTCTCTCTCGCGCTCTCTCTCTCGCATTCTCACCGCGTTCTCTCCCTCTCACGCGCTCTCTCACGCGCACCCTCACGCGCTCTCTCACGCGCTCTCTCACGCGCTCTCTCACGCGCTCTCTCACGCACTCTCATATGCGCACACGCTCTCCCTCGCACTCCATCTCTTTCTTCTTCAAATGAAAGTGCAATGCAAGTGGAGATCAATCGACACATTGGAGAGAAACAAAAAAAATCAAAACAAAACAAAACAGGACAGAAATTTCAGAAGGGGGAAGGGAGGACGGAAGGACCAGGAACGCACCTGATAACCACGGTGCCTGAGAAAACAACCCGCGCTCGCGCACCAACCCGCGCTTGCGCTCGTGCACCTGTCGCCGGACGAGACGCCGGGGAGGGAAGGAGAGGCGACGCCGGGGAGTGGGGAGAGGCGACCGCGGGGAGGAGCGAGAGGCGACGGCGGGGAGGAGGGAGAGGCGACCGTGGGGAGGAGGGAAAGGCGACGGCGGGGAGGAGGAGAGGCGACGGCGGGGAAGGAGGAGATGCGAGGGCGGGGAGGAGGAGAGGCGACGGCGGGGAGGAGGAGAGGCGATGGCGGGAAGGAGGGAGGCGACGGCGGGGAGGAGGGAGAGGCGACGGTGGGGGGAGATGCGACGATGGGGAGGAGAATAGGCGACGGCGGGGAGGAGGGAGGCGACGGCGAGGAGGAGGGAGGCGACGGCGGGGAGGTAAGGGAGAGGAGATGGCGGGGTGGATGGGACGGAGTGATTGTGAGGTGGGTTGGAGAGGTGTCAGCGGGTAGTGAGGGAGAGGATACGGCTGGATGGAGCGAGAGCGACGGCTAGGTGGGAGAAGAACTGGCGAGAAGGGGTGGGGGGGAGGGGAGGAAAAGGAGTAGGAGCAGAGCAGGTTCTTGTCGAGAAGATTCAAGAACAAGAACCAAGAAAAGACAGCGCCGAATTCGAGCTGTGAAAGAGACGGATGCCAGCGCAGAACGAGAAAATTTCTGCCAGCAGAGCGAGAAAATTTTGGGCGTGTTACATTTTTTTTTTTTTCGTCCTGATGGTTACTGGACTCGTTAAATCTCAGCATTGAGTTCCTCAGGGTCCAAACGACGTCACATTCTTCGTATTGTCTCCTTATGACATTGAATTGGTCGCAACGCGACCGCACGACGTCGCGATTTTCGCACGTGTCCGGACAGCCGTCCGGACTTTCAGCGACTTCAAAAAATGTAGCACGCCCTTATGCAAGCACAGGAGGAGGGCATTCAGCGATGCCAAACGCCCAACCGGCTATATAAAACTGAAAGAACAATGGAGTTAAGTTGTTGGTGAAAACAATTCATGTTTATAAAAATCACAACCTTTCCCACAGTCGCTGACCTCATTACGCACCTCCGCACTAGTGACACTCGCTACCGCGCTGCGCTTCCCACTGATTTGTGCGCCAAGAACCCCCCCCCATGTACATCACCCTCTACTACATAGTCACCCGGCTCCCTGACTCTGTTCGCTTAGTCAGGGACCACTTCCTCTCAGTTTGGCTGACCACACTCACCGTTGACCTCCTCGAGGAGCGCCTCCTAGTAGCAGAGAAGAGCATAGTCGCTGTAGGAGCCTCTCGTGGTGACCCTCGCACCCCCGTCTTTGAGGGTTGTTTCCCCTCCCCCCTCTTGCCCTCTGTTGCTTCTGCTGCTCCTGCCGACCTCGTTGGTTTCTACGGGGTCAGCGCTGCGTCTGCCCCTAGCGGGAGACGCCGCATCGGCAAGGGCAAGGGGGGCAAGGGAGCTGGAGGGGCTAGCGGAGGCGGTGGAGGTGGTGGTGGTGGCAGTGGAGGGGGTGGGGTTGGTGGTGGGAGTGGTGGCGGGGGTGGCGGCGGCGGTGGCAGCAGTGGAGGCGGAGGAGGCGGCGGTGGTGGCGGAGGGAGCGGAGGCGGCGGAGGTGGCGGAGGTGGCGGAGGTGGCGGCGGCGGTGGAGCTGGTCATGACTCTGCGCAGAGGAGTGGGTCCGGTGGTGGTCAGCGCCAGCAGCAGCAGCGTGGTCGTGAGACCATGTCCCCTCAACAGCTTCGTGAGTGGTACGCTGCGCGTCAGCGCGGTGGGGGTACTGGTCCCTGCACTTATGTCCTCTGTACCAGCGACCGCGCTGGTGAGCAGTGCAGGGGCCCGCACTCCACCCAGCGCTGCTTCGGCCGCCTGACGGACGCGTGGCGTCACCAGTTCCATGAGGCGTCAGAGATCCCTTGCTGGGGAGATCTGTCTAGGGCGAGGGTTGCCATCTTTGATCTTGACTATGATGCTATCCTTGCTGCCATGTATGCTGTGACTACTAGTGTTGAGGGTGACTGTTACCTGTGTGTACCGCCTGACCCGGGCATTGAGGCTACTGCTCTAGGTGCTGGTGAGGCTGCTGCTCTAGGTACTAGTGCGTCTGCTGCCCCAGGTGCTAGTGCGTCTGCTGCCCCAGGTGCTGGTGAGTCTGCTCTCTTTGGTACTACGTCGGCTCAGGCCTTACACACCTTCACCCTCGACTCGGGTGCGTCCCGCTCCTTCTTTCGAGACCGCACCACGCTTACGCCGCTGAGTCGGCCGGTTGCAGTCTCCCTAGCGGACCCCTCTAGGGGTCCTGTCCTTTCTCACTTCTCCACTGTCCTCCCGTGTCCAACGGCCCCCTCTGGCACCTTGTCTGGTCTTTACCTCCCCTCGTTCTCTAGGAACTTGGTGAGTGGAGCGGACCTACAAGATAGGGGGGTTGACCAGTTCACTCCTGCGAGTCAGCGGGTGACCCACTGCACGTGTGCTCGGACAGGCCGACACTTGGCCACGTTCACCCGTCAGCCAGGGTCGAGCCTGTACACCCTTATTACTGAGTCTCCTCCGGCTGCTGAGTCTGACCGGGTAGCTACGTCGAGTCAGGTGTTTGCTGCAGCGTCCAGGTCTGGTCCTGAGTCTGCTCCCTGCTCATGTCGTCTCCTGTCCCACCAGACTCTCCTTTGGCACCACAGCCTTGGTCACCCCTCCCTGCCTCGTCTCCGAGGCATGGCCTCCCGTGCTCTTGTCTCTGGTCTCCCCCGGTCTCTCCCTCCCCTACCTCCGGGGCCTGGCCCTACTTGCGTCCCCTGTCCTCCGAGTTTCCTCCGATAGAGGCTCCGCTGCAGACTCTCCACATGGACGTGTGGGGCCCCGCCTGCGTCCGTGGACAGGGGCACGAGCGTTACTTCCTGTTGGTGGTTGACGACTACTCGCGTTACACCACAGTCTTCCCCTTGCGCAGCAAGGGTGACGTCACTGAGGTGTTGATCGACAGGATCCGCGCAGCTCGTCTCCAGCTCAGGGAGAGTTCCGGCTCGGACTTTCCTGTTCTGCGTCTGCACTCTGACAGAGGCGGGGAGTTTTCCTCTGCCCGTCTGGGAGCCTTCTGTTGTGCACAGGGCATCCGCCAGACCTTCACGCTTCCGGCCTCTCCACAACAAAATGGGATTGCCGAGCGCCGCATTGGCATGGTCATGGACGTCGCTCGTACGTCCATGATGCATGCGGCTGCCCCCCATTTTCTGTGGCCGTTTGCGGTTCAGTACGCTGCGCATCAGCTCAATCTTCAGCCCCGGGTCTCCTTGCGAGAGACCTCCCCCACCTTGCGGTGGACGGGGAAGGTTGGCGATGCGTCTGTGTTTCGGGTCTGGGGATCTCGGGCGTTTGTCCGCGACTTGTCTGAGGACAAGCTGTCCCCCCGTGCTGTTCCCTGCGTCTTCCTTGGCTTCCCCTCTGACGCGCCTGGGTGGCAGTTTTACCAACCCACCTCGCGCCATGTTCTGTCCTCCCAGGACGTCACCTTTGACGAGTCGGTACCTTACTACCGTCTCTTCCCCTACCGCACTGCGCCCCTTCCCCCGCCCCCGCTCTTCCTTGCGCCAGGTCCTCCCCCGGTAGACCCCCCCACCCCTCAGGGTCCTGCCCTGTCAGGTGTGTCCCAGGTAGACGCAGTCGAGCCTGTCGAGGTAATTGTTGACTCTGGTGCTGTTAGAGCTGCTGAGCCTGCGGGTGTCGGGTCTGGAGGTGCTGAGTCTGGGGGTGCTGAGCCTGGGGGTGCTGAGTCTAGGGGTGCTAACTCTGGAGGTGCTGAGCCTAGGGGTGCTGAGTTAGGGGGTGCGGAGCCTGGGGGTGCGGAGCCTGGGGGCGCTAGGTCTGCTTGTGTGGCCGCCGGCGGCGCTTCGTCGAGGCGGGAGCCACTCTCTCCACAGGAGCTGCGCGAGTGGTTTGCCCGGCGCTGGAGCCGTGCTGCTGGAGCTCGAGGTACTACTGTTGCTGGTAGTCCCAAAGGTGCTCGTACTGGCGGTACTGGAGCTGCTGGGACTGGGGGTGCTGCTGGAGCTGCTGGGACTGGGGGTGCTGCTGGAGCTGCTGGAGTTGGTGCTGCTGGAGCTGCTGGAGCTGGAGCTGCTGGAGGTGTTGGCGATGGTGTTTCTGCTGGCGCTGGTGCGTCTGAGGGTGCTGGAGTTGGCGCTGTCGGAGCTGGAGGTGCTGCTGGCGATGGTGCTACCGCTGGGGATACTGGTGCTGTCCCTGCTGGTTCTGGAGGCACTGCGCGGCCGCGACCGTACTTCGTTCCCCGATTTGAGGCGAACATCGTCAGTGGCTTGTGGATTTTCATAGTGAAGCGGCCGTCGGGTTCTCCGCCTGTCTTCAAGGCGCGTTACGTGGCTCGAGGCTTCAGTCAGCGGCAGGGAGTTGACTAATTTCAGACCTTCTCTCCCACCCCGAAGATGACCACTCTTCGGGTGCTGCTGCACATAGCCGCTCAGCGCGACTACGAGCTTCACTCTCTTAACTTCAGCACAACTTTCCTGCAGGGCAACCTGCACGAGGAGATCTGGCTGCGCCGCCCACCTGGCTTCACTGGGTCATTTCCTCCTGGTACCCAGTGGAGCCTCCGGCGGCCAGTCTGCGCTCTCCGCCAGGCGCCCCGTGAGTGGCACGACACAATGAGGACTACACTTGCGACTCTTGGGTTTGCTCCTTCTACAGCTAACCCGTCGCTATTTCTACGCACCGACACCTCTTTGCCGCCGTTCTACATCCTCGTGTACGTCGACGACTTGGTCTTTGCCACTGCTGACACTGCTGGACTCGCCCACGTGAAGTCCGAGCTGCAGAAGAGACACACGTGCACAGACCTGGGTGAACTGCGCAGCTACCTTGGCTTGCAGATCACCCGGGACAGAGCACAGCGCACCATTACCCTGACTCAGTCACACATGGTGCAGCAGGTCCTTCAGCGCTTCGACTTCACGTACTCCTCGCCTCAGGCCACTCCTCTGTTTACTCGCCACTCGCTCTCAGCTCCGCCTTCGGATGAGTCCGTAGAGCCGAGTGGCCCGTACCCAGAGCTTGTTGGCTGCCTCATGTACCTGATGACCTGCACACGACCTGACCTTGCATACCCTCTCAGCATCTTGGCACGCTCTGTTGCTCTTGGCAGACACCGACCAGAGCACATGGCTGCAGCGAAGAGGGTGTTGCGCTACTTGTGCAGTACGTCGGGCATGGGGTTAGTGCTTGGAGGGCGACGTCGAGTGGTCGTCACAGGTCACGCTGACGCTTCTTGGGCTGATGACGAGGCTCTGCAGCGGTCGTCACAGGGTTACATCTTCAGCCTTGGCTCCGGCCCTGTTTCGTGGCGGTCTACCCGCTCGTCTTCTGTTCTCAGCTCCAGCTGTGAGGCTGAGATCTACGCGGGGACCATGGCTGCATAGGAGCTACACTGGCTCCCCTACCTGCTGACTGACCTAGGAGAGTCGCCTCGTTCTCCTCCAGTTCTATACGTAGACAACAAGGCCGTGCTGG